CTCACCACAGCAAGGTGTGATTCTTTATTCCATTAATTTTATCAGACTTTATTATATCTAATAATTTTGCGGATTATCAGTATTAGTATTTATCAATGTATCCTTTCAATTCCTCATTGGAAGAAGGCTTCATGCCTGAGACATACATAATATTTTTGTTATAGTGTTAAAGTTAAATTTTATTTTTTAAGTGTCATTTTGTTCCAACTTACCTATTATATTTGTAACCAAGTCCCGTTCCAAAATAACTACTATCTTGGTTAACCTCATCCCCATCAAACCTCAACCTCTAAAGTTCACTCAAGGTTCATTTTGGAACGCACCCCCGAGAGAGCACCTTATCCCTACCACCTCACTCACCCCGACTCCTAGTAATCACCCGCTAGGTGTAGTTTCTGAACGCAGCCCTGATCGGCCAGCTCGAAGCAGAACACTGCTGCTATCGGTTTCTCGTGACAGTAGTTTTTAGGCCTCCCGCCTCTGTCGTCCCTTGCCTTACGCCTAGTTAACCGAATGCGTTATCCGGTGTGGCGGCTCGACAGAGCGAGGCAAGTGCCGTCGTTGCCCGCGGTCCCGAGGCCTATATGGCCCTCCTGACCGTTTTTCACTCACGCGTAACTGTACACCCACGGTCATCGATTCTGTCCCTCGAAAATTTTCACAAACTCTGAAGTGATCACTTTTCTACATTAATGCTCATAATCCATGCACGATTAACGAAACGAAATCGTGCATGGACTATAAGCATTAATGTAGAAAAGTGATCACTTCAGAGTTTGTAAAAATTTCCGAGGGACAGAATCGATGACCGTGGGTGTACGACCCGCGGGCCCTCTGGTGGTGCTCCGCGAGTAGTTAGCGCGGCGCGGTACTCGGGCGCCTGTGCCGCCTACCGGTGGCGCGTGACAGGTGCGCGGCGCGTGCGCGCAGCCGCGGACTCCCGCTGCCTGCCGGCGCGGGCGACGCTTTGTGTGTGTGGCGCTTTGAGTCGTCACAAATTAATTAATTTTGATAGTTTTATGTATATATAGAATAATTTCATTTACGAAGAAATATTTTGTATTTGGTAGGCTGCGTTCGGAGAACGTGCTCTCATATTTTTGTTGCTATGCAACAAAAATTGTTTCAAACAAGTAACCTATTCATACTTAATTGTAAAGTCGTATTAGAGTTTGCAAAGTCGTATTAGAGTTGATTATAATAGACGAAACATTAATCGGCATTTTTACTTGTGTTTCATTTAAGTGTTATTTGTTTAAGTCATACAAAACATATTTTTTCTTTTGCTATTCTTGATAAAGTGTGTTATATAGTGAATTGGACAGTGATACGAAGTGATACAAAGTTATTAATTAATATAATTGTTATTTACTATTTTAATTTTTTTGATAAAAATTTTTTATAACTGCATTATAATTCTTCTGAATTTTCTATATAAATTTGAGAATTTTTACAATTTCTACATAGTTTTATAACTTTAGAAAATTTATCAGATTTTTTATACAATTTTTATACAAATTAAGATATTTTTCAGAAATGATAAGAAAATCTATAGTTTTTCTAGAATTGTTTATGTATGTAAATATTAACTAAAATATTCTAAGATTTCTCATTTTATATAACTTTCAAAGAAAACTTATAAAAGTGATAAATGTTTAAAGTAATCTTTTGAAAATTTTTATAAAGGAGGAAAGTCTATAAGGCTGATGTTCAGTCCTATCTAAATCTTATTCTAAAGTATCGGAAATTTTATTATATTACTAAACTTAGGTGATTTTAGCCTAAGCGAACATATTTTGACGCCTGTATGTTGTAAATTGCATAATCTTTTGAAATCAATTTTGTGTTTTCTTTAATTAATTAATTCTTTAATGAACTGGTTTTAATGTCCTTATTTAAATTTTTTTCTATATCTTTTATAAAATAATGTTTTAAACAAAAGTTGTATGGTCTGAAAGAGGATGAATAATGATACAATTTCTAAAATAATTAATTTTTCAAGATCACATGGAAGTAATCTTTTTTAAGAAATTATATGATTTTTTTACATAATATAATTTTTCTGGTTATTCTTTATATGAAAGTATTAGATCAAAATTATAAAAAATCAATAATTAACGAGATATTTTACTTTACGCTAGCATATTTTGACATAAAAAAATATATAAAATATATTTACAAAATATGCAACATTAAAAAATATATATATATGTATAATATATATCTAATAATATTTTATAATCGTACCTTAATATTTTTATGCACAAAATAATGTGATAAATCAATTGATGTCAATTGATGAAAGAAAGCACAAAATGCTTTTCAAAAAATTTAGGCAATTTACAAAAGAATAAACATACGTTAAAAGGATAAACATACGTTAAAATCTATTTAGGCTAAAATTATTTGATTTTGACAGTTCTTATAATAATAGAACTTTATAATTTTTTACCGTAAAATTTATATAGTCAAAATAGACTGGCTTTATAAACATTTCCTCTTTTAAATAGGAAAAATTTTTTAAAATAACGAGATGTGAGAATTTTTTTCACTAGAGTCATCACTAGGCATTACTTACTGCAAATTACTGTTGGCTGCACAAAAAGGAAAATTTTGATTTCATAATTATGAAACCTTATTTATTAAAACATTCTATTTCGCGAAAATGCGTACATAAATTAAGCATAAGACAACGTAAAAGAATTACATTGGAAATTAGAAATAATTTTCGATCTGAAGACAATTCATTGAATTTTGTTAAACAATCTGATGCACAAAATAATATTCGAGATATAACGGATGTATTACATGCAGAAAGTAGTTCATCTACAGCCAATCTACAAACAGAAAATAATGTTTGTAGCAATATGCATGTCGAAAATTCAGAAAATAATAATGATGTTATTTTTTCTTCTGATAATGCTTCTGATAGTGCTTCTGATGGCGCTTCCTCTTTTCTCAGTACTTCCTTAACCGAGTCATTTCGGGAAAGATTGGCATCATGTTTTGTTGTAAATAATTTGAATCATATTCAATGTAATAATATTCTGTCCCTTCTTCGCACACATCCTTGTTTTTATAATCTGCCTAAAGATACTAGGACACTTTTAAGTACTCCACGAGATAAAGTTATTGTATCTAAAATACATCCGGGTGAATACATCCATTTTGATTTAGAACCGCAAATTCTTAAAGTGCTTTTGCATATTCCAGTTGCGTCTCTCCCAAATCAAATAGAAATTGATTTCAATACTGATGGGTGTAACTTAGATAAATTAGGAACCGTGCATATTTGGCCGATTCAATGTATGCTTGCAAATATAAGACATAAACCAATAATAGTAGGGATATACAAAGGTCCTACAAAACCAAATGATCCAAATTTATTTTTTGAACAGTTTGTTGCAAACATTAACAGAATATTGATTAATGGTATAAATATTAATGGAAAAAAATTATCTGTACGTCTAAGATGTTTTATAGCACCAGCGCGTGCTTTCGTTCTTAATCATAGAAGTCATATGTCTAGTAAACCTTGTTCAAAATGTAAAGTCTCTGGTGTTCGATGTGAAGGGCGCAATATTTTTTTAGGTGTCAATCATTCTTTACGAACTGATAAGGAATATGTTAGATGTTTGGATGAAGATCACCATAAAGATGGCAAAAGTCCTCTATCAACATTACCGATAGGGATGGTTTCGCAAGTGCCCTTTGAATACATGCACCTCGTATGTTTGGGTGTTCAAAAAAAGTTNTTCTCCGCATGGTTATACGGAAAATATTCACGCTTAACCAAATTATCGGCAAGATCAATTTCTATTATGTCGGTACGATTAGAAGCACTCGCAGCATATTGTCCATCCGATTTCGCCAGACGACCTAAATCACTCGAGACATGCTCAAAAT